TACTTCCAGCCATGTTTGATTATTTATCTTTTTTTTAAATTTACTTTGTTTCTCCATGATTAGCTTCCCCCCCAACCCTCTGTTTTTACTGAGGCACTTCCCACTGATGGTTTTGGTTACTGTTTTGCATTTCTTCCTCGTGTAGTGTTTTGCTCAAGATGCTTTGCAATGCTGGTTTTCTGGCTGCAAATTTTTTTAACTTTTGTTTATCATGAAAGATTTTTATTTCATTGTTGTACCTGAAGCTTAATTTTGCTGGATACAGAATTCTTGGTTGGCATCCATTGTCTTTCAGTGTTTGAAATACGTTGTTCCAGGATCTTCTCGCTTTCAGCGTCTGTGATGAAAAATCAGTTGTTAACTTTATTGTTTTACCCCTGAATGTAATCTGTCTCCTTTCTCTTGTAGCTTTTAATATTTTCTCTTTGTTCTGTATGTTGGATATCTACATAACAATGTGTCTTGGCATTGGTCTACTGTGATTTTGTATGCTCGGTGTCCTGTATGCATCTACAATTTGTATATCCATTTCCTTTTTTATTTCTGGAAAGTTTTCTGTAATTATTTCATTCAACAGGTTACTCATTCCCTTGGTTTGAATCTCTTTACCTTCCTCTATCCGGATGACTCTTAAGTTTGGTTTTTTTATGTTATCCCATATCTCTTGGATGTTTTTCTCATGATTTTTTACCAGCCTTTTTGAGTTGGCTAGACTCTTCAAGATGATATATTTTGTCTTCATTATCTGATGTTTTGGCTTCTACTTGCTCCACTCTGTTAGTGATACTCTCGTTTGAGTTTTAATTTGGTTTATAGTTTCCTTCATTTCTAGAATTATTGTTTGATTTTTTTTATAATCTCTATCTCCTGATAAAGATGCTTAACTTCTTCTTTTATCTGTTTATGTAATTCATTTTCAATGTGTTCTTTCACTGTTTGAATTTGCTGTCTCGTATCCTCTTTAGGGTTCCATTCCATCTGTCTAAGATATTCCTTGAGTTCTTTATTTGACCATTTCTCTGATGACTCTAGGTCCTCCTGAATATTTAGGCTGTCCTGCATTGTTTGGACTCCTTTTCTTCCTTGCTTTTTCATGCTGCTCATGTTACTTCTTGTTCTGTTTAACTGCTGAGTTACTGTTTACTCTTATAAATTTATTTGATGCTTGGGAAGAAAGGTATTAGATAGGAAGGGAAGAAGTCACTAAAGAGAATGAGAGTAAGCAGGTAGAATTCAAGGAAGGGGGAATAAGAAAATTTAAAAAAAAATGAAAAGACAAAAGAAAAAAATAGAAAAGAAAAAAAGAAAAAAATTTTTAAAAAATAAAAATTTAAATTTAAAAACAATAAAATAAAAAAAATTTTTAAAAACTTTTAAAAACAACAAAAAAAGTGAAAATGAAAAAGAAAATCCAAATTTTTTTAAAAAATTAATAAATGCAGTCTTAGAGTTTGATTAACTTCTCTTCCAGTAGGTGGAGATGTGCCCACTGGGCCAAGCTTCTCCTCTCAATACACAGGAACCAATCACTGTGTAGCAGCTCCTCCTCCCAGACTGGGCGGGTCTCCAATCCTGAGTGCCTAGGGCCTTCTCTTGTGTCAGGTCACTTCCCCACTTTTCCTCAAGCCAGGCCCCGCTCACCGGTGAAGCTCACCACAATACTGGCTAAACACCAGGTCTGCTGCTCCCGGGAGCCCTGTTTTCTTGAACGACTGGGTACACTCTCCCTGTTTGCCATTCCCTCAGAGCCTAAGTTTGTAGAGCTTGGGGCTGAGAACCCTCATCGAATTTTGCTTGCCCTCTGGTAGCCACGCCCCCGGTAGCTGGTGCAAGAGACCTCAGTTGTCAGCACTGGTGGGAGCAGTAGCCGGGAGTTCTGCCGTGGGTCCGCGCCACTCCTGATTCCCTCAGTCTGGCTATCGTGCTCACGGGAAAGCTGGGAGGGGCCCTTAAGGTTTCCTCGCTGTGTGGAGAGGGAAGGCTAGGAGGTTACACACCTGTCGCGGCTGGTTTCAATGAAGATATCTCCTCTGCCGCATTCTGGTGATGTCAGTTCTCTGCCATGGTGGTATCCCATGCAAATGGCGACAGTTCGTTTCCCTTTGCCGGGTGACCAATGCAACAGGTGGGTCCTGACTGGCTCTCCCAAGCCCTGTTTCAATCCTGTGGCCACTGCCTATGAAGGCTCGGTTGGCATTTACCTTCAGAAGGGCCAACCAGTTGTTTCAGTGGGATCGTTTAGTGCTGAGTCGTAGCAGTTTGTCTGCAAGAAGCAGGCGAACGGGAGCTTGAATTCAGCCGATCCGGACTCGGTGTGTGTTCTGAGAGGCCCAGACTGTTCGCCCCAGATCCACGTCAGCTCAGCATTGCCTAGTGATCCTGAGCAAACAGCATTTAGACGGTTTACGACTCCCTATGCCTGCGCAGCTGAAGAGGTCAGAGACTTGATCTCTCCACGCCCGCTGCCATGTTGGGTCTCTCGGAAAGTCTACTTTTTGAAGTGAGAGATGTTTTTGAGCTACTCAAATTTGTGTTCAGTTTGTGCCTTTAACACTTGGCATTGTCAATCTTAGAGGAATTAATATTGCCTTTTCATTTGCAAAAGGAAAAATGATGATGATACCTACCAACCTCTTCGAGATTCTCTGAAGTAGTGGCTAATAAGTATTAAGTAGTGAGCTCCAGCCCTGTTTTAGGTGCGGTGCCCAGTGCTGGAGTGGGGACACACACCCACATATACATATTTCATTTATGCAAATGTGTACATGTTCCTCTGAGAACACCAGTTTAGGCGTTGCTAGGTTTCAGCAACTATTACTTGAAAAGTTTTTACTAAAAATACATATATTAAGCAAAGTCTGAAAATAAGGAAAAGCATAAGAAAATAAATACAAATCATATGACATAATCATTGCCCTTGCTTTTTCATATACTGTACATAAACCTATTTTAAAATTTTTATTTCACACAGGATTGGGCCATGTATACTATTTCAATTTATGTATTATGAATCATTTATTTCCATGAAGTTGGTTGTTTTGCTATAAAATAATTTTTAATAATGGAGTAATATGTTATCTGGATAGAACATAATTTATAAAGCCTGTATTACTGAAAACTAGGGGTTTTCCCCTCTAGTTTTTCACTTTAATAAACTCTGCATGAGTTTCTTGTTGCATAATTGTTACATTTATAAATTTTTTAAAAGAAAGAAACTCCTTTAGGAACATTTTTAAGGTTTTTCACAGATATTTACATATTTTCTTCCAAAGGCTTTGCTATCAGTCAGTATACGGTCGCCCTTCTTATCTTCCTCAATTCCAAAAATTCATTCTTTTAAAAACTCTTTTGGAAGAGTATAAAATTATGGCATTTGCGGGTAAATGGATGGAGTTAGGGAATATAATGCTAAGTGAAGTTAGCCAATTCCAAAAGAACAAATGGGGAATGTTTTCTTTGATTTAAGGATGCTGATTCATAATGTGGTTGGGGTTAGGGGTCATGGAGGATTAGATGAACTTTAGATATGGCAAAGGGGAGGAAGGGGAAGGCAGGGTGCATGGGGGTAGGAAAGATGGTGGAATGAGATGGACATCATTACCCTAAGTACGTGTTTGAAGACACGAATGGTGTGACTATACTTTGTATACAACCAGAGATATGAAAAATTGTGCTCTATATTTGTACATGAATTGAAATGCATTCTGCTGTCATATATAACAAATTAAAATTTTTTGAAAAAGAATTTCATATTTCTCTTGGTTCAAAGTAATTTTGGGAATGAGAAAACACCACTGTGATTTGTTCTATTTCTTTCAATCTTTATTCTTACAAGGTATAAAATAATGGTAAAAAGGAGAACACTATTGCTATATTGCCTGAATTCTTTCCTTAGCTCTGTTGCTTATTATTTGTGTGACCTTGGGAACATTATTTAATCTGTGACTCATTTTCCTTATCTTTAAAATGAGACCTGTGATACTACCATTTTAATGAGAATTAAAGGGTTTGAGATAGTGGGGGAAAAAACTTGTCTTGACATAAATAACATTTTATTTGCTTATGTCATTTTAAATGCATTTTCTGTTCATATTCTTCAATAGTTATTTTTGTTGATTCATAATAACTTTGGTCAGTATATTATCTTTTACTAAATTTGTTGCAAATATTTATTCTCCAGTAGTTTGCTCTTTACTTTTTTCTTATAGAGAGGTTTCTTTCCTTTTCTACTGGTTTTTTTTTTCTGTTCTTCCTTCATCCCTCCCTGTCTCCCCAACTTGTCTCTCTCTGACTTTAAGATGTATCAAAGTATGTATGTTTTGAGTTGAAACTATTAATCGTTTCCTTAGTCACTTCTTATTTTGGTAATTTTGCTAGAAAGCCATTTCTCACCCAGAAATAACAAAAAATACCCACCTTATATTCTTCCTAAATTATTCATTCAATTTGAATTGATTTTGGCCTGAGTGTGAATAGGGAGCCATCTTTTCAATAGACATTATTATATCCAAAAAACTATTAAAACTAATCATTAAAGATTATTTAAGAACATCTTTTATTTTAAGAACATTTTTAGTTCTGTCCCTTCTTTCTGACATAGTCTATTTGGGAGTAACCCACCCTGCACAAGCATCTCTTCCTATTGGATCACTCCAACCTTCTAGTGTCTCTGTTTTCACTCCTGTCCTTCAATTTGGTAGATTATTCACCTGGCCTCAGAATCTTTTTTCCAACAGCCCTGCCTGTTTCAAACACCACATATGTGGAGCGACTGCAGATAAAATCTGATGCATTCAAAGAAAGAGCACTGATGCTTGGTCTCTCCCATTTCAGGAAAAGATGAAAGGCAAGAACAAGCTGGTGCCTCGCCTGCTGGGAATCACCAAGGACTCTGTGATGCGCGTAGACGAGAAGACCAAGGAGGTGCTGCAGGAGTGGCCTCTCACAACAGTCAAGCGCTGGGCCGCCTCACCCAAGAGCTTCACACTGGTAGGACTGGCAGGCAACGTGGGGGCTGACGTGGCCTTGGGCAATATTGTGGTACAGGAGAGAGACCAGATCCTAGCCCAGTGGGTTTCTCTGGCCTTGGAGAGTCAGCATGGAGAGAGGAAGATGGTGCCAGTCCATGGGCAGGGAGGAGACTGATGCAGGAGTAAGACAGGTATGACAAAGACTGGGTTTCTTTGGCTCCTGCTTCCTCTCTGGTGTCTTACCTAAGGCCTCCCCTATTCAATATCTAGAGGAGCCTCTCACCAAGAGGATTCTTAGCTGTGTGCTCTGGATCCCTTGCACATCCTGAAAGGGAACTTCTAACCCTCTGAAGCCCACACATCAAACATTCTTAAGAACTGTGATATAGTGCTAAAGAGAGTTTTCCCAGCCTTCCTAGAAATAGCACAGAGTACATAGTGGAAACAACATAGATTTGGAGTAATATTAAAGCTCCAGATTGTCATCTCCTAGCTTTATGGCCCTGTTCAACATCTCTCTGAGCCTTAATTTCTTCCAATATAAAATGGGAATAGTAATACACTACTTCATAAAGTTCTAGCATTAAACAAGAAGATGATGATAAAATTCATGGGAAATGAGGAGAAGGTGTTTGTTTCAGCCCTTTGGCCTCTAAATTCCTTCTCCCAACTTTAATATTTGCTGTGAGGGGAGTATAATGTGAAGTCTTCTAGAGCCAAATTTTCATGTGAAACTTGATAGGGCGGGTGTTTTGTAAGGACAACTGAACAATAAGGATTATCAAAAAGTGCTGGAATTTGTCGTTTCTTCAGACCTCCTGACATCTTTGGTGAGCACTTGAAATATCAATTTGCCATCTAGTCAAGATCTCATATGACATTTTTTAAAAGGTATAAGGAGGAGTTTGGGAGGAGTAGTTACTTAAATTGATGATAGATTGATATGATCATGCCAGTTGAAAAGAACCTTCAGAAACTCTACCTCTTTCTCTAGTTAGTAGCAGCTGTGCCCGTGTGATTTTTAAAATTGGGTATTCATACGGAGAGTCACACCCTCATATTCCATGATGCGAAGTCATGGATTATTGCTAAGAAAATCAATATTAGCATGTGATTTAGAAATACTAGAAGAAACTGCCTAAAGACTTGATTTCCTTTGGGGGCGGGGCGGCAGAAAGTAAAGGTGGAGATGGAGCAGGGGCCAATTATCTTTTGTTATATAACTTTTAATACTGGTTTTTAAAAACTGGGTCTAAGCAAAAATAAATAAAACTGAGAAATAGCTATGATAATAGTAACTACCTCAAACAAAAGAGATAATGAATGTCAATATTTTTATTAAAGTATAAAGTTGGGTTAATGCTTGCAATATATATTTCTTTCATTCCTACTTCTAGCTTTTATTTAATTTCCTAGTGCTTGGAGATTTTCCTGTTGTCTCTTTCTATTATAGATTTCTAGTTTGGTTCTTTTACGGTCCATTGTTTGGAGATTTCCCTGTTGTCTTTCTATTATTCATTTTTAGTTTGATTCCATTATGGTCAGAGAACATAGTATGATTTTAATTTTTTTTAGCATTAAGATTTGTTTTATATCCCAGTGTATGATTGTGCTTGGTAAGTGTGGTATGAGTGCCTGGAAGGAGTGCATGCTCAGCTGTTGTTGGTAAAGTAAATGTCAATCAGATCCCCACCAGCTGACAGTGGCTCATCCATCTTCTACATCTTTGTTAATTTTCTGTCTAGCAATTCAATCATTTTCTAAAAGTGAAGGTCTTGAGTTTTTCTGTTTCTTTTCCATTTCCATCAGTTTCTGCCTCATGTATTTTGAAGCTTTGATATATGATGACTGTTCATTTAAGATTCTTGTGTCCTTCTAATGGAGAGATTGTTTTATCATTATGTAATATCCTTTTGTTCTAGTAATTTTACATGCTGAAGTCTGTTTTATCTGATATTAATAGAGCCAGTCATGCTTCTTTTAGTGTTTGTATGATCTGTCTATTTCCATCCTTTCAGGTTTATCATACATATACTGTTATATTTGAACCAAGTTCTTATAGAGTTGTTTTTTTTTTAATCCATTCTGTCAATCTCTGTCTTTTAAATTACATTTAAGCTAATTATTGACATGTTAGGAGTTAAGTCTATCATTTTATAATTTTTTTCTGTCTGCCTCCTTTATTTATTTTTTCTCGTCTTCCTGTGGGTTATTGAGACACTTCTAAAACTCCCGTTTTGAATTATTGTTTTTAGCACACCACTTTATATAGTGTTCTTCATAGGTTTTCAAGATATTGCCACATATGCACATGAAATTAATTGCAGCTTGCTGGTATTGATGTTTTACCTGTTCCAGTGAAGTGTAGAAGCCCTGCTTCAACATAGGTCTCTTCACCTTCCCCACCTTTTGAATAAAATTATTTGCATATTTCACCTGTATACATTAAACACCAGATCAGATGGTGTTACAAGTTAAGCTTTCAAACAAAGAAACACTGGAGGGAAGGATAGTCTATTACATCTATTTTTATTCCTCTTGCTATTCTTATTTCAGAGTTCCCAGCCTCCTCCTATTGTCAGGTGCTCTGCATTTGGAGCACACTGTGAGCCCCTCCCTAAGGATGGGTCCTGGCAGCAGACTCGGTTTTCCCTCTGCACAAGCTTTCATTTCTTTCTCGTTTGCCAGATCCAGAATTTGGGATTGTCAGTTCTTTCAGCACTTAAAAAAAAAATAAAAATAAAAATAAAACACTACTTTTTTCTCACCTCTGTGTTTCCAGATGAAAAGTAGAAGTTGCTGTTTGTTTATGAGTAATAGGTTATATTTCTCTAGCTGTTTTTAAACTTTTTAAATTTTATTTCCAGTTTTCAGAATTGTTGGTGCAGATCTCTCAGGGTTTATTCAATGTGGAGTTCACTGTGCTTCTTGAATTTGTAGTTTTATATACAAGTATATATAATTTGGGGAAGCCATTATTTCTTTAAAATTTCTTGTCCCACATTATCTTGTTCTTTTACTCTGATAATATTAATGTTAAATGCTTTGTTATTCATCCCCTAGGATCCTGAAGCTGTTAGTTTTTTAGTTCATTTTCTTTATTGTTGAGACTAACTAAATTCTATTGGTCTATTTTCAAGTTTACTGATTCTGTCCTCTGTCATCTATATACTACTATGTGTTCTGTCCTGTGAGTTTTTATTTTGATCATTGAATTTGGGCAATTCTATAGTTTCCACATTTCATTCTTTGTTATGACTTCTGTTTTTGTTTGTTTGTGTGTGTTGAATGCATGTTTCTTTTCACTTGTTTCCAGAGAGTGTATACTTGGGCATTAAAGCACGGCTATCTTAAAATTCTTATCAGATACTTCTAATATCAGAGTTCTTTCAGTTATTGGCATTACTTGTGTCTTCTCATTCACACATGGTCATCGTAGTCCTCATTATGAATAGTGATGTTTTTATTACATCCTAGACATCTTGACTTGTATGTCAGGAGCCTATGATGTTACTTAAATCTTGTTGGAATAGGCAGCCGCCTGGTCAGGTTTGCTGTGTGGTGCCCTGGCCTCTTCTATAGGCTTCTGTCATAGTGCCGATTTTCCTCCTCCTGAGCCCTTGCCATACCATCCTGGACGGCTTTGTTCTTTGTTCAGTGACCTATGCTGGGGAGAGAGAAGCCAATGGGTCCGAGTCTCTTTGAGCCCTGAGTGGAAATCAGGGAGGCAGGGCTTCACTTCATTCACTGCTGCAAGAGGATCAGACTACTCACCTGCCTGGGTTGTGGAACAAAGCTAGGGATGGTCTAAGGTTTCACTGCTTCTCTGAAGCTGCTGGTGAGCACCAGCCCAGGTCCTCTACATGGTGTTGTGGCTCCTGGATAAGTGTCTGTTGGGTTTCCCCTCTCCTGGTCTCTTAACCAGAGAGAATATGCTTTTCAGAAGTTAACTGCTGGAGATTCTCATTTTTTGGCCTCTCTAGCTCCCAGTTGTGGGGGTACATGGGACATAAAACAAAACCTGAGAACCAGCCACATTGGGATTCCTCAAGTCCTGAGGCTTCCAGCCACTTTACCTTTCCAGTTTCCAGAACCCTTTTACCATTGTTAAATTTTAGGGATTTACTTAGAGGGGAGGTATGGGGAAAAGTCAGTCTGTGTCATGCTGCTCTGGAACTCGATCCTCTGAGGCTTTAAAATGCCTGATAGATCTGATGTAGCCATGTTTCTTCTACTGCTGTTTTTTCCAGGACTTTGGGGAGTATCAAGAAAGCTACTATTCAGTACAAACCACGGAGGGAGAACAAATATCTCAGCTGATTGCAGGATACATTGACATCATCCTCAAAAAGGTATTTCGTATTGATGCAGATTGGAAAAGCAAAGCTGCTTCATCAAAAGGCTCAGTTTAGATGATGTAGCTAGCTTGAAAAAATCACTTATTTGAAACACTTGATTCATTAATTTACTATTTGACATTAGAATTGCATTAATAAGACATCTTTGACCTTGAGATCCTATGGTTTTACTGCTGCAACATTTATATAAGGTCAGGTTTTGGTCACCAGCCTTTACAGAAACCCAAACTGAGGGGGTAAAGTATTCTGGGTTTTCATGAGACATTTTTGTTTCATTCTTAATAAATGTAATGGGACTAAATGTCATAGTGGTGTATAGAAAAAAAAACAACAGATTTCTTAAGGCTTCATAATACAGCTAAACAACCACTTGAAATAACCAAGTTTTGATAGAATTTTAGTATATGAGCCTTGATTTTTTGCAATGCAAAATCTACAAGAATAAGACATTATTTATCTATATTAAATAATGTATTTCTCTTTTATTGTTATCATGGTTTTGTTCACCCATAGCTTTTCTAATTCAGGAAAATTTGGGTTAACTTTAACACTTTTATTTGTGTTCCTTCTAAAGTTCTTTTCAAGGGTTCTTACATGAATGCAAAGCTTCATTTTCATTGTTGCATTTTGCTTTACCTCCAGAAACAAAGTAAAGACCGATTTGGCCTAGAAGGCGATGAGGAGTCAACTATGTTGGAAGAGTCGGTTTCCCCCAAAAAGTGAGTGTTGGGAGTGCTGGGGAACCACCTTCTCTTTAGGTGGACAGGTTCCCCCCCTACCATCTCTGTGCTCAGCTCTGTAGGAGATGACAGTGGAATGGTATAGTCAAGTCTTTTCCAAGTGTGGTCCCCAGACCAGCAATGTCTGTCTAGGTATCTTTTGTTGGGGAGACACTGAGCATGGTGTGGTATTCCCCTCCTTCTTTAGAGGCAGTGAGCCTTCAGGAGCTCCATTCTGCATTTTTGATGGAATCTCATGAATTGCGTTATTTTTCCCCCAGAGGCTGGAATATGGATTCTGTTTGATTCTGGTCCTTTTGGGGAAGGGAATTTGGGTTCTGACCAGTGAAAAGATTCTTGTCTATGAAGCACTTGCCATATGCCACACTTGTCTTGCTGGCTATGAGGTAGCAGAGGTCAGTGGTTAATAACATGGACTATGGGGACAGTTGTCTTTTATTCTCTGCCCCTGAACTCTCTATCTGCACAAACCTATCTACAAAATAGAAATAATATTACCACCTTGTAGTCCTATGCAAGAAATAAGCCAGTGGTGATCATCTCAGATTCATGGATGAGAAAACCAAAGATCTTGGAGTTAGTTGAGATGCAACCAGAGCCCAGAATTCAGATTCAGATCTTGTAATGATCCCCACAATATACTCCCAGAAAATTCTTGCATTCCTTATAATCAACTCACTTATCCATGGTAGTTGTTTCTCTACTATTTGTAGTCTTTTCACCACTTTCTCACAAATTGCTTTCTAATAACCCTGAAGGTACTTTTCCATTTATCCTCTGTGAGTACACAAGACGGCGCCAACTGGATATAATGCATTTCATTACTTCCTACTCCCTGATAAAGTACCTTAACTCCTTGGAATTATTAATGACCATTACATGGAAATTGTTAAACTAGTACTTCCTGACAGGGTGAGCTGATCATTTCAGAAGACTCTGCTGTTCTTATATTTTCCATAGGAACAGCCCAGTAAGTATCTGAGCTGGGGCTCTTGCCTGCCTGGTACCAATGAAATCTCCACAATCTCCCCTTATTGTGGGTCTGATCTAGGCAAGGAGGAGGAATGGTCCAGGACACCATCACTAGACCTTCCACTTCTTTCTGTATTGATCTTTTTCTGAGATCTCAGAAAGCAGTCGACTTCTTCCTGGAACCCCAGACTACCCTCGCTATTGTCACCCCTCCACATTGATGTCTCTCTTACAGATGTCTGTTCCTTGGGATCCTCGCTTGGCTATTGATGTTTGGGATGATCTGTGATGGGTCAAGACAAAGGCCTCTGCTATCCAGACTCCCCAGATCCTCCCTTTGGGTTTATCTACTGGGTTCCTGAAGAAGATATGCCACCCTCAGTTTTTTTTACCTTCAGATTACCCAGGTCCTTTGCGTATACCACTTATTCTAAGAAAATATCAAGAAGTTAAAAATTCATAATTTTTTTGTCAGACACTTTAAAACATCTTCCTAGTCTCCAGCTAAAATCTTTTGGAATAGGTGCCAGAGTATCTCAAGGCTCAGAGACAATGAGATAAATGACAATGAATTCTGCTTCATTCCTAAGTCTCCAACTGGGTGTGCCTCTTTGGATTGTCCTCCAGAGCAGAAAGCAGCAGGCACCTGTAGCACCCATGTTGTCTTCTCACTGTTCTTCACATGGGTGACAACCCCACAGTGACCAGCTGCCTTTCCCTACAGGTCCACCATCTTGCAGCAGCAGTTCAACAGGACAGGCAAGGCAGAGCATGGCTCAGTGGCACTGCCAGCCGTGATGCGCTCAGGCTCCAGTGGACCTGAGACCTTCAACATTGGCAGTATGCCCTCACCACAGCAGCAAGTCATGGTTGGGCAGATGCACCGAGGCCACATGCCTCCACTGGTGAGATTTCTTGTACCTGTCTCTTGCTCAGTAGAATGTTGTCTTTTGTGTCCAGAGGAGGCACCAATGACAGTAATGGGTTGTGTCGGGGACTCCCTCTCCCATCTGAACCACAGCTCATCAAATTGAGCATTCTTTTAGTTAGATGACTCTGATCACTCCTGTCTAGGATTAGAGATTGCCTCTGTTGCTGAAGTCAGAAACCTCTCACTGTGGTTTGTGACTGCTCCTTCACTATAATAGTATCAAAACAATTATCTCAGATATCCTCCAAGAGTCTGAAAAATAGACCAAACCTTTAGTGATCTTGATGTTCCATCCCTGGGGTTGTTAATTCCTTTCTACTGGGCTGGTCTGTCTAACTCAGTGCCTCTCTGGCCTGCCTTGGGGATCCTTTGCTATTAGGCAAAAATGTTTGAAAGTTCAAGAGCCTGAAAGCTCAGAAATAATTTGACTCTGAAAAAGCATATTGGCTGAAAGTTTTGGATGGAATTCTTAGGAATTGATCAAGAAACATTCTCATTTAACACATGTTTTCTATGTATAAGATATTCTGTCCTCAGTACTCAAAATTAAATCTTAAATTAAGCCTTTAGCTGAGCCTTCTTGTCAGCTAATTAAGCTCTCTAGAGTCTTCTGATGATAATTCCTCTGTTGCAATCACCTTCATTTTGTATTCTATTAATATAATGCAATGTCTGGTTTTGGTCCCCAGGTTGAAATGGTAGATAATTCAGGCACTTGTTGAGATGTACCTTTGGCTGAGCTCAGAGCTCAGTTTTGCAGTTATGCATGGAGGGCCTTGTCAGTCCCAGGAACATTCTATGACTACCTTGTTTATCTGCCTTTTCAGACCTCAGCCCAGCAGGCCCTTATGGGGACCATCAACACAAGCATGCATGCTGTCCAGCAGGCCCAGGATGACCTCAGTGAGCTTGACTCACTGCCACCTCTCGGCCAGGATATGGTAAATATTGATCTGTGGGTTTTATTTGCTGTCTCTGTTCTGGCAGAAAACAAGGTTATGAGCTCTGTCTGGATTCAACGAGGTGAATCTCAGTCTTCAGCTAAATGACAAGGAAAGCCATGTGGTTTCCAGGATGTTAACTCTGTCTCTCAGTTGTGGCCCAGGGGAAGAGAATCATTGCTGCAGGCTGTTGGTAGGATCACTGAACTGAGCAGTTGGGCCCTCAGAGTCAAGTGATCTGGGTTCATATCCCAGCTCCCCTATTCACTCACTGGCTGTTTCAATCTGGGCAACTTACCCTCTCTACATGTCCATTGTGTCATTCATAATAGGGTTCTTTTGAAGGTATACTGATTTAATCACATGTAGTATTCTTAGCAAAGTATCAAGCATGTAGTTAAGAGCTCAGTGAGAGGTAGGTGTTTTGTTATATTTATTACTATCAGTGGCTGTCAAATTTTAGCATGTATCACAGTCAATTGGAGGGCTTGTTAAAATGTTGCCAAGACCTAGCTCCATTCTTTCAGACTCAGAAGGTCTGGGGTGGAGCCTAAGAATGTGCATTTCCAATAAGTTCCCAGGTAAAACTGATGCTACTTGTATAAGGATCATGCTTTGATAACCCCTGAGCATTGCAGCAAGGCTGGGTAATTGGCCCAAAGACCTTCGTATAGTTGCTGCAGCATGAAACCAGCTAACTCCTCTCCAAGAAAATGTGGTCCACAGGCCAGAAGCAGCAATTCATGAGATCTTGGAAGAGGTGCTAAATCATACGCCTACTTCTACCTACTGAACCAGAATCTGCATTTCAGCCAGGTTCCCCGCTGCCTTGTGTACACATTAAAATTTGAGAGGCAGTGACTAGTAGTCTCACCTCAATCATCTGAGCTTTATAAATGAAGCCTAAAACCCAAGTTCAGACCACATAAATTAGTATCATAGTGGGTGGGTCCTGGACATAAGTTTTTCATTCTTCCCAGGTGATTCTAAGGGCAGTCAAGGTTAACCACTGCTGTGGAATAGGCTGATGCCATTATGGGTGCTAGAACCAAGAGAGGATCTGTAGCGTCATCCTGTCTGGCCAGGACTGCTTTCCAAGTTGTCCCTGAGGCTTTTTCCATTCGCATACTATGGTGGAGGGACAGGGTAATTGGTGTCCTCAGTGCTATTTCCCCTAAGTATTTGAAATTATTAAAGATTTTACTCTGGAAAACTTGAAAGTGAAAATATATGGCAGACTTCCATATCCCAGGTAATCATGAGACTGAGTTTTAAAATATCTGGATGTAACATTCCTTCTCACCAACTTTCAAAGAATTAGAATGGAATAAGCTATTATTAGTGCTCCACATATCCTAGTCATAAATTAATATTTTGGAATTATTTTGAGAAGCAGATCTTCATCTTACCAACAGGGTTACCATTACCTATGTAAATGATCATTTATTAGATAAGTCTTGAAATGCCAGAAAATAATTATTTTATTATGTATAGATTCCAAGACAGCATGAGAGCAGGAAAGATTTTTTTTTTTAACAGTTGAATTTCTACAATAGAAGAAAGACAAGGCATAAGACCTGGATATAGTTTGCCCAGGGTCCCATTACCTTGCAGTGGAGCTGGATCCAGAACAGGGGTCTTGACCCCTGGACCCAGTGCTATAGGGAAAGGTAGCACATCCACTTGAGCATGGCATTGTCTTCAGGTGGACCTTGTAAACAGGAAATACTTCCTGCATTGGACTGAAATCTCCAATTCTAACCTTGTTCCCTAAAAAGCAAAGTGAACATTACCAACAACTGTTAGTGCTAATGTGCAGTATTATGAGACATTGATTTTTCTTTTTCAATTGAATTTACCTAAGGCCACATATAATTTTTTCCCTTAAATCTTAAATTTAAAAAAAATAAACAGTATAAGATATGGAGTTATATGCCATTCAGTATCTCTGAACAGATTAAAAGGCTTTTAAGGATGTTTAAGATGACTCAAGAGCTCATTAGTGCCAGCCCAGTAAGGGGAATGTAACCAAAATGCTGGCCTCATTTTATGGCCGACTTCTCTGGTCCCATGGGTAATTTTTTTGCCATGATTGTGTCATGCTTTTGTCTGGCTTCATAGGCGTCTAGGGTATGGGTTCAGAACAAAGTGGACGAATCCAAACACGAAATTCATTCTCAAGTCGATGCTATTACAGCTGGAACGGCTTCAGTTGTTAACCTCACGGCTGGTAAGTCCCTGAGCATTTTGTGGTATATTGTGGTTTTGTGTAAAAATATATATTCTTTGATTGAAACAACAGATTTTCATATGATGAGAAGGTAGTGTATTTTTAGGTACTTGGCCTGCTTTAGGTATTTTTTCCAATTATCCAAGAGAAATGTAAGGAACATCTCATTCCTTTTTATCATTGTCATGCATCATCATCACAAAACACACATGGAGCTCTCCTCATTGTTAGTCAACATGCTGGACGTACTTCAAAGTCTGTGAGGCCAGTTTCTCCATTCTGGGAACTTATGTCTGAAAATGATCTTGAAAGGACAAATCTATCATCTGTGCCTTTTCCTATCTTGTCCAACAGCAGTCTTTTCTGGCATAGTGTGACTCCCAGCCTGACGCTGTCAAGTGAGAGCAGGAGATACCCTGGCTTCACTCTACAGTGTCAGTGTTTCCAAAGCATAGTTGACCCCCTGAGCTACTGACAAAAGCCTAACAAAAAGGGCCTTGACATGTAAGACCTCCTTTGGAATTTTAAAGTTGTCCATGCTCCGTATCTTAATATATGAAGCCAACAGATGAGAGGACCTTATTGAAGTCACCTTGGAAACAGGTGTGGTCAATCTCACTGTACTCCTGCAGAGCTATGGAGAATGAGCTACTGCCATTGTGGGGATTTTGAAAATTCTTACCAGGACCACTTGCCAACCTTGCCATCTCTTGCCAACCTGGATTCTCCCCATCCTTCACCACCCCGCATTGATTATAATGGTCCTTCTCTGTCCCAGGTGACCCTGCAGACACTGACTACACAGCCGTGGGATGTGCAATCACCACTATTTCTTCCAACCTGACGGAGATGTCCAAGGGTGTGAAGCTGTTGGCAGCCCTCATGGATGATGAGGTGGGCAGTGGGGAGGACTTGCTCCGAGCTGCAAGGACCCTCGCTGGGGCAGTGTCCGACTTGCTGAAAGCTGTTCAGCCTACTTCTGGAGAGGTGAGCTCCAAGGACCAGCACTCATTCAAATTCAGATGAGTACCTGCATACCCTGGAGACTGTGGGTCTTTGACTTCCTGAGCTCTTCCTTCTATCTGAATGGAGTATGTTACCACACAGCAGTATTGGGAGTTGTTGAAATTGGTGCAGATACTTTTGTTCAACTTTTGGGATTGGTTGAACTCTTAGTATGAAGGTCTTCCCACAAGGGTACTTAATTAGATACATTCCCAGAAACTTAACAAACATGACTAGCACCCATTTAAAGAAGATACATGTTTGTACCCTAATTTCCATCCAGCACCTACCACCTTTTTACCAGCTGTATGAGGCTCATTCATTGGACATATCACATCCATCCACCTGTTGCTGGTGTGTAAGACCGGGTATCTACTTTGCACAGATTTCACAGGAACATTGTTTCCTAGTTGGCCAATAGCCTGAGATTCTTGTTGATGTATAAAAGTTGCCAGTCCTATGTGATTCTTCTCCACATTGGCCTGGCTGAAGACACTGTAGAGGAAATGTATTTTCCTTCCAACCAAAGTATGTTCTTTTTCACAGCCTCGACAGACCGTTTTGACTGCTGCTGGAAGCATTGGACAAGCCAGTGGAGATCTTCTGAGACAGATCGGAGAGAATGAGACTGATGAGCGGTTCCAAGTAAGATATGTGCAGCCTTACAATTTTAGAAGAGAGTCTTAAGTGCTGGTTCAGAACTGATCAGGGAGAATTTGATGGAAAACAATTCCAATCTTTGAGCTGTCAAGAATAAGATCGAGAGGGATTATTAGGGAAGTGAGGTCTTTTGTGTTAATGGAAAAAAATTTTTTAAATACAAAGGCTCATTACACATAAATCAAGCACCATCACACTATCACACTTATTTAACCTTTCTGATTATCAAATTTCTGGATATACTTTAAATACAAAAGTGGAGAAAATAGTCACTAACCCCTTGAATTGGCCACCTAACCTCTACAGCTGTCAAGTCCTGTTCAGGTTCGTTCTCTCTCTCTTCAAGGGCAGTTTCTTCTGGCATCATTCTTGAGTCCCCATGTAAATGTGAAAACCATACACACCCCTTCTTCAGGCACAACACACTGTAGGCTTTTCTTTGTATTCAAAGGTGGTGCTGCCTTCTGTATCTCATCTAAAACCATAAGTGTGGTGGTGAAGTCTTTTCTGTGACCTTTGTTTTCCAGCGACATGCTGTTTGCCCTTGGGTGAACAGCTGTAGCCACTGTTTGCAGCTGGCTTGATTCACAGCCAGCATAACCACGCTGCAGCTCAGACAAGATCTCAGCTTATTCCAACCCACAGACGGGGCGCAGAGGCCAGCAGCTAAGTGACTCAGGCCAAGATGAGCTCTCCTCATGCACCTATGGGCCAATGTTCCTTACTCCTTCCTCTTCTTAAGTCTCTAATTTTGCAAGTAATGCATAAAGCCATCCTAATTAAAATGTGACTGTTCATACCTGGGTTCCCTGGACCAGAATCTGTGTCAAGCTCATTGTTTGAGAATTCAGCAAAATTTCATTGATCTTTAAAGTTTTTTTGCAAATTATTAAATTTTTAATATGATTGTGTATGTATTACATCATTAAAATTTTAATATACGTGTATGTAACTGCAGTGAAATATTTAGGAAAAAAATCACTACAAATTTCAAATATCAGAAACAACATCACAATATCACCAAATTCAGAAAATTAATGTGTTTTTTATTAACTCCCTGACACCCAAAATACATTTTCCCTATGTTTTTGGCTACATCCTCTCTGACCATGTCTTCATTTGGCAATGACTTGGTAATATTTTAGAGAGAGAGAGAGAAAAAGCTTTCTTCATTCAGCTGTGTCTGGCATTCCAATTTCTTGCTTCATGGGTGACAGTTTTGCATGTCATATTCTATAGAACTACCAAGTTTTTTCGCTGCAAGGTTTGTCAGACTATGATATGATCAGATGTGTTGTGAGACATGAAACTTGTACCTTCATGCATAGATTTATTTGTGTCTCCTTCACTCTCCACATACCTGTGGTGCTGTGATCATAGGACCCACCTGTATCCTGGTACAATCAGATGTTCAGTGTATGGACATTTGTGTCATGAAGGAAGGTAGGTCCCAATTATTTCATTGAGCCGGCCAGAAATTATTTCACTATAAATAGAATTCACTGCAGACTGCAGAAATATACCCATCTAAACCCAAGTTGATTGTGCCCCCATTCTGACTGTCCTTCCAAATCCTCAAACTGTCCATGTATTAGCCTTACACTTATAAGCTGAGGTATTTTTTTTATAGGCAGGTGTATCTACTTAGGAATTTGGCATATGTTGGATTTAGCTGCTGGTTTTCTAGATTTATCTTGAAATGCCCAATTTAATTTCCTTGAAAATATTATTGTTCTCCCCAAACTGCTAAGAACAGTTGAGGAGAAAGTCATGATTCTGCCTTAAGACAAAATTTCATGCATCCTTGTGCTTTCTAAACTTTGCTTCCTTTCCTTTAACAGATTGTTTTCATTGCATTTACATGCAAACTCTGCTTCCTGATGTTTGTTTCTATTTAGTCACAGCTAGGGAGGCAGGTTTATGCTCAGAGTGACTCAGTAGTTCAGTTTGTATGAGGTCCCTGGGTAGGGCCCGTTTCAAGGAGGTAATCCTCAGCCTCTTCCAGTGGGGGTAGCCCCTAGCTTATTCACATTCAATTTCTTACTCTATTTTTCTGAGTCTTAAGATCATATCTCAGAGCTTTTCTTGGGTTCTCAGTGTACTGCATGTTCCCAGAGTTAACAAAGATTTATTTTACATGGGCAACATAATAGTGGTCTTGTTGAAAAGTTTGACAAAGGCTTTGTCAGCAACTATAGCTGTAGTATTATGCTCTTTTTCTAACTATGTTGTTTTTGGACAAAATTAATAGGAGGAACAAGGTTTTTTAAAGTGATTTTAACAAAGCCCTTTAGAACAATCACAATTCTACATTACTGAATTGTGGTCCTCTTATGTAAAGATGGATTCATATCAAGTGAGAGAATACTGTGGCCTGCTTTGGGAAGTTATGTTTAAAAATCTTGTTAGTAATATCAATATATTATTGATATTCAGGCTTTTTAACTGAGCTTTGAGATAGGTGTCTAAAAACCATAACTTTGTGGTCCATCTTGGGAAAAGTTGTGTAGTGGACAAGTGCCAGTCAGCTCCCAAAGGAAGGTCAGCTTTAAGCTTCTTGGGCTTGACTTTTTCCTTGGATATGTGGGATCACCACAGACCTGAGAAAGGCTGGTCTGAACTGTTCCTTTAAGACCACTTGGTTGTCTACTTCAAAACTGGCTTGCTTGGGTTTCAGATTTGCCTGAATGGCACATAGTCTTTTTTTGTGTGTGTAAAATGGTGCAGGCTGAACACACTTTCCAATATATCTTCTCATAAAATATCTCATTGTAAAGACTCTGTGGGTGCCCTTTGCATTTAGAATCAAAAGTGCTTTTTATTATCTGATGAATTAATAAAGACTTCTGACCACATTTCCTCTGGGGAAAAAGCCTTGACATGTTTGCTCAAAATAAAAATGGCTCACATGTTTGAGAAAGCATTTCTAAATCAAATAAACTGCTTTCAGTATTAAAAGCAAAGAGGTAAATTAAATGTAACAGTGGTTATTCTTCAGGTCAAACAGATGGGTGACAAATCTGACTAGCCAAGTCAAAGGAGTCTTCCCTTTTGCCACAGAATGGCTTTTTCATTGAGTTGGGGCATAAACTCATCTTCAAAGGCTCAGAACTCCTTGCATCTTATATCAGGATCAGTCAGATCATCTTGTAACTAGTTTACTTGTGTGGATTCTCTTTCCATTTTCCATAATAATTTAATCCTTGACCACAAGACTACAGACGCTGAAAATGACTTATGTTCAGAGCATTCCTTGGCTCTTCCGCTGTTGGTTTTGGGGCCAGCTATTTGTCTGTGCATGTCCAACATTGCCCTCTGGAGGCAGAGATGTGTCTGACTTTCCAGTGATAACTTGCATCCTTGTGCAAAGCAGAAATCCAAAAGATAAATTTTCAAACTACAATGAGGCATGATGACTTGGAGGTCATGAATTATAACCTGCCTATAGCACATGGTGTTTGTGGCATCTGGGTATATTTTCAGCTTCTCCTAGTCCACCACATCAACCATATATTCAAGAGACATTGTCAAAACCAAGTGTGAGGTAACTGTATGGATGTGAATCAGTGGTTGAAATAAAAATCTTTTCCTTGGATTAACCCATTTTAGATTTAAACCTATATTATTTAATGGGTTTAGGTAGAGACTACGTAATTAGGATACAAGTCCTGTTCCTTAGTTACTTCTAGGAAAAAGTTAACATTTCAAAAAAAAAAAAGTGAAAAGAAATTCTTAAGTGCTGAAGAAAAAGATCAAATGGAATTTGAATGAAATGTTTAGGTGTATGCCACATATTTTTCAGGCTGTTAAGGGGTAAATAGAAAAAAAATTACTGAATAGTCTTTTATTCCCTATTTTTAGGATGTGTTGATGAGTTTGGCCAAAGCTGTCGCCAATGCTGCTGCCATGTTGGTGCTGAAGGCCAAGAATGTTGCCCAAGTGGCTGAAGATACTGTCCTACAGAACAGGGTGATCGCTGCTGCCACTCAGTGTGCCCTTTCCACTTCTCAGCTTGTGGCATGTGCCAAGGTAAGCCAGCTGGCATCTACAGCCCTTCCTACCACATGCCACACATTCTGGTGTCTTCTTCTTTTAGGTGTTAAGGTAGGATTTTAGTATAAGCTGCTGAATTTATCATTTGTGCTCTTTTTCAGTTCTTCAGGCAGTTAGTCCTTTTCTCTAATCCATGTCTTTGCAAATGGCTCTCTCCCCCAGGGAATTTTATTTATAGTGCATAGGAAGAGCCTTTTGTTGTATGGTACAGTGTTAGGAATGGGTTCAGAAATAATCCACAGCTCTTTGGAGGATCCTTTCCATACTGCAGTAACTGAGTGAGGATGTGAATTGTTCTAGGCTATATACACTCTGTTTTAAGAATGACATCAGTAAAGCTCCCTGGCAATCCTGCAAATTAAGTATCATTATCCCTCATTTGTTGAGGAAGAACCTGAGTTAGTAAGGCGCTTTCAGCCACAGAAGTAGAGACAGACTACAGTATAATTCGGGGCCATCTGATCCCAGATGCCCTTTCTACTCCACCACGTGTATTCTTTTCATAAAACAGGGCCTGGAATGTCTCATACTATGTAGATGTGTGATCTTACAAGCCTGGCATTTCATATCTTGTGGGAGGAGTTGAGCATCAATCTAGGGGTGACCCCAGTGGTTTTCCTGCTTGCCATGGCTACCCTGATAGGATCCACAAATAAGTAACAAAGTTCCAGGTACCTCTGGAAAAATACAGTTCTTTTAGGTAGTCATTTCATCTTGGGCCAGAAGGCTCACTTCAGAAGATCCTAAGAACACGCTATAATTGGTAAATATCAGAAATCTCTATGGAAGTAGTAATCCAATTTGTCATATGTGACTAATGAGAATGTAAATTAGCAAGACACTAAATTCCCAAAGTGTAATAGTGAACTATAGGGAGACACAACAGTAAATTAGTTGATTCCCTGGTACTTGAAAAACTCAAGCCCAGGGCACAAAGGAACTCAAGGGAGATGCCAGCCACACTGGGGACCAGACATCACCTGCAGCATCCAAATCCCACTTCTGTCTCGCTTCAGGTGGTGAGCCCCACCATCAGCTCCCCCGTGTGCCAGGAGCAGCTGATTGAGGCAGGGAAACTTGTGGATCGCTCAGTGGAGAACTGCGTCCGAGCCTGCCAGGCAGCCACTGGTGACAGTGAGCTCTTGAAGCAAGTCAGTGCGGCAGCCAGCGTGGTCAGCCAGGCCCTGCATGACCTCCTGCAGCATGTGCGGCAGTTTGCCAGTCGAGGAGAGCCCATCGGCCGCTATGACCAAGCCACCGACACCATCATGTGTGTTACCGAGAGCATCTTCAGCTCCATGGGTGATGCTGGTGAGGCACATGGCTGGTAGATGAAGGGGTTTGGGGCTCCTTTATGGTGACAATTATCCATAGGATAAGTAAAAGCTACTGGACTAGCAAGAGCAAGTTCTCATCAGCTTCAGTCTGAGACTTCCTTGCTGAGGCTCTGGAAAAGATAACGTGGGACTTCTAAAATGCTCGTTTATAGCCACAGTTACAGACTTGTGCAAAATTAACCATGTTTTTATTGTCATTTGGATTCACAGTGAAACTCTTCTGTTTTAAAAATGTACATGTTGCATATAGTATGGTAAAGTCAAAGCAGCTATTGAGGAAACAGAGACAAGGCATGTAATGTAGAATTGATCAATTGATCCTACCTATAGGTCCCCAGAGAGTCACCACGGGCCATGCAGGGTCATGGCGAAAAACACCAGGGTGGTCAGGAAGCAGAGAACAGGAGCAAGGGGAAGGTCCACACTGCAGCCTTTATTGGAGTTTCCTGGAGTGATGCAAGGCAGGACATAGCAAACAATTTAGTCTAAAGCAAGTAGGCATGCTCTAAGTCACAGAGGTATTCCATCAGGGTACCAGTTACCTGCTACCTGGCCCCAGGATGAATAAAGCAGAGGAATATTGTCTTCTGGATCTGAGGGCTAGAGAGGGGAAGTTTAGCTCTGAATTGATTTGCTTGCTGAGTCAATTTAAAAAATATATGTAATATACTTTTTCAGTATTTAGTTGAAAAGTAAATTAGACTCAGCCTGTCTATGCCCTCCAAATGCCCAGAATTGACACTTAGCAATTTGGGTTTTTTAAAATAAATTTTATTGTGTGTATTTAAGGTATAATCATGATGTTAAAAGATACATATATAGTAAAATGGTTACTACAGTGGACAGATTTTCATATTCGTTATCTCACAGTTACCCCTCCCACACCCACAAGAGCAGCTATAACCTACTCATTTAGCAAAACCCCTGACCTTCCCATAGTTATGTGTGTGAGGAAAAGAGGAGACCGCCTTACTGTTTATATAAGCATAATTGTTACATATACTATTTATAATCTTTTTATACTTAATATGTTTTAGAGACTTTTTCATGTTTACTTCTATGTTAATTATTGGAGGGTTTGCTTTTACTTAACCAATTATCTTTTAATGGACATTTAGTTAATATCCAAGTTAGCTTATTGTGCTTTTACTAAATTAATACTACAATAAGCATTCTTATAGTTTACTAAGCATATCTTAGTTTACTTTGGAGGGTATGTATGAAGGATAAATTTCTATCAGTGGAATTGCTGGGCCAAAGATATGTCCTGTTAAAAAAATTTTGAAATTTATTTCCAAAAGGATTTATAGTTGCAACCTATCAGTATTTTGTAAGAAATATGTTTTCCTACTTCCTCCCCAGCAACGGTAATACTTTAAAGCAAAGGTTATTTTTTCTTTTTTAGAAAATTATAATCTATATCCTTCATAAATGATTTAACAAAATAGGAAAGTGCCACACAATTGGATTTGTGTGTGTGTATCTTCCAATTTGGGTTTTTTTTTTTATTTTATTTTGGAATGCTTCCAGATTTGAAAAAATAAAGAAGTTGCAGAGGTTTCAGAGTTCAACATACCTTTCCATTTCTCCCATTTCTTTTTTTTTTAATTGGTTGTTCAAAACATTACAAAGCTCTTGACATATCATATTTCATACATTAGATTCAAGTGGGTTATGAACTCCCATTTTTACCCCAAATACAGATTGCAGAATCACATCAGTTACTCTAGCTCAGTGGTTCTTTTGACAGAAAACTTATAATCATTTCTCCCATTTCTAACATCTTCCCTAATGACAGCATCTTCCCATGACACATCTGTCAAAGCTGAGAGATAAGCACTGGTACATTACTGTTAACTGTAGCCAGTATTTGGATTATGTCAATTTTTTTCATTAATGTCCTTTTACTCTCCTATGATCTAATCCAGGATACCACACTGAATTTAACCCATTTTTATGTTTAGAAAAGCTTTTTTCTTGCCCCTTAACATCACAGTGCTCCTGCATTCTTCTCAGTTGAACTTGACTCAAGGAATAAGTCCTTTAATGAAGTAGTTTTATTTTTGATGTTTATTATTTTACCCCTCTACTTCCAAAAGGAAGCTGAAGTAGACCTCAGTAAAATCACAAGGACAGTAAGACCCAACATTTGGAAACTCCGGGTCCAAATCAGTGCTGGGAAGAAAAATGTGAGCAAGAAGACATTGATGGGGACACTGGGCCAAGGCACCTCTAGTACTTGATCCTGACAATATTCCTACTAGGAAGGACCAAACAGCAAAGAGTGGGCTATGTGCTGTCATAGTCATCCAGTCATAGGCAGATGCAAATCCAAAATTTAGAAATAAATTTTACCTATGCTGATTTCTCACAGAGTTTATTATAGGGGCTTTTATATAAGTGCCTCTTGAAGTGAGGTAAATAGTGTTTTCTAAATAACTATTTACTAAAAGTAAATTCATGTAATTTTGCTTCCTGCCCTCTCTTTATGAAGTACTCCTCTTTTGGCTACTTGTGTCATGTTTAGCCTTCATAGTTACAGGTTGAACTTGGATGTGTTTGGGGAGTACTGCCTTGGGAGCAATAGGGAATGTTTTCCATTCTGGCTGTACTTTGGGCCCATTGCTTAGGAGCAGAGTATGGAGGTTCAGTTCCCTCCATCCTTCTTGTCAGAGGAGTAGAGATAAGACTGTACTGACCTCTGAGCTTGTACCCACTTTGAAAGGCAGCCAAACAGCCTGCATTGTCTGTCCCAACCTCTAGGTGAGATGGTGCGCCAGGCCCGGGTCCTGGCCCAGGCCACTTCGGATCTTGTCAATGCCATGAGGTCAGATGCAGAGGCTGAAATTGACATGGAAAATTCAAAGAAGCTCCTGGCAGCAGCAAAGCTATTGGCTGACTCCACTGCTCGCATGGTAGAAGCTGCAAAGGTATGATATTGGATTTGTTGATTTGAAAAACAAAGACTATCATGTTAAGATTTTGAAGGTACCTGAAAGATGAAGGATGGTCAGTTGCATTCCTCTTTGTTTAAAATCTAAGTGGCTTCATAACATTTAACCTGGGTTAGGTGGTAAAGGAGGATGTTAAACATGGACAGAAATTCTTCAGGGTACAGGAGATGACTGAGCCACAGACAGCAAAGTGCCCTGCTCAATGAGGGCTCTTTTTGCAATTGTTCCACACTGCTGACTAAATGCAAGTGGAACCTGGAAATTTTCAGCAGTGAATTCACCTATAATGGCTTTATTTCTAGTGTCAATGTTACCTTGCCCTCCATTGACTTCTCAACTAAACTCCTATCAAGATTTTGCATAATAGAGTGTTTCCAACTTCACTGTACTTCAATTCCCAGTAGCAACCTAAAATGTTACACAGCTCAAGTATCCCATATCCAAAATGCTTAGGAACCAGAAGTGGTTCAGATTTCAGAGTTTTGTTTTGTTTCAGATTTTGGAATATTCTCAAACAGTTTACTTGTTGATTGTCTCTTATCTGAAAATCTAAGATCTAACTTTTTTTCCCCTAAGATCTAACTTTTGAGCATCATGTAAACACTCCAAAAGTTTTAGATTGGGGAACCTTTTAGATTTCAGAGTTTTGGATTAGAGATGCTCAACCTGTGTAAGGGTTTGAGTTAAGAGTTGGCTTTGTGCATTTTGACAGCTATGCTGTAGCATGATGCTTCTAAAAGCCAGTTATTCTCAACCAAAGGTCTCTTTCAGAGCTTCCCATGAAATATTATAATTTATATGCCTTATTTCCACCTCCAGAGGTCCTGACTCATAAAATTACTGGTGAGACCATGTGTGTGAGAGTTCTCCAGGATATCCCATTGTGTACCTCTAAGTGAGAACTGTTTTAAATAGAAATGGCCTTATTTCTCTATGCTTTATTATTATGCATCTAGCACACAGCACTTCTGTAACTAATAGAAAATACAAATAAGTATAGAAAAGAAATAGAAATCACCTTCAACTTCCTGCCCCAAAAAGAACATTTTTAATGTATCTGTACATGTAGAAGATTCATTACACAATTCCACATCTCATCCCATTTCCCTGGCTCCATAGCTCACCTAAGTTTGTGAATTCCCTTAAGATGTTTTGGGATGTACAGAAGCCATGTGCAGGACCTTTCTGGACTGAATTTGCCATTGTGCCCCCTGAAGGACAGAAAGATCATAGAGTTAGCTCCAGGGATGGGGAAGAAAAGATCTGGGGAGAGACAGGGTCTGCACTTCCTTCTCTGTCTCTGTTCCCTGTTGCAGCCACAAAGCTCTGCTTTTCACCACCCCCCTTTTAGCCAAAAATATGTTAGGGTTTTGTACTGTGGTTCATTTTTCTAAATGTTTTACTATTTTTCCCCTTCTAAGTCTATAAGTAGCTATTTCAAATTAGCCCTCATGTTTGCAAGAAATTATTAGCTAGAATGTGAAAATCTAGTCAGTCCCTTATTTTACACATTTTGAGAAAATTAAGCTCAAAAAGATAAAGCCAGATGTCACTGAACCAGGACTAACATTCATTACTTAATGTCACTGCTCACCAAGCCAATTCTCTGAATTTACCAAGTTGCATAAAACTTGTTTCTTCTAATGATCTATGATTTTTGATAATATATGTTAGTGGGACAGTGTTGGTTCTGTAAATTCATTATACTTTTAGTTAAAATTCACTGTTTTCATGACAATATTTTAATATGATAATTTTTTTAGAAAGCTAAAGGACATTTAATGCTTAGACTTCTGAAGTATATATTTAGTACACAGAGAAAAATATTTTTTAGTCAGTAGCTAATATTTCAAGCTAATATTGGTCTGCCACATTCCTTATACATCATCAAAAAAGACATTGCAGCCAAGCATGATGGTGCACACCTATAATCCAGGCTGAGACAGAAGGATTACAAGTTCAAGGGCTGGGGATATGGCTCAGTTGGTTAAGTACCTCTGGGTTCAATCCCCAGTACCAAAAAAAAAAAAAAAGGCATCACAGAAGAAGGTGCAAAGCATCAGTGTGTAGTGCTGAAATGTTTGTTTATAGCTACTCAAAATACAAAATTGGGCATTCAAGGAGTGGCTTAAAAAAATACCCAATGACCAGAATAAAATGAACTGACTTCATAAACTTGCAAAAGAATACACAAGAAGCCCAAGTAATCCTTTTATACATAGTTGCTAGAAACTCAAAATCAAGACAACTAAAAGTGGTTAAGTTAGTAGAAAATCCTATTCAAGAAGATGACCAGACCAGTTCTGTCACAGATGTTAAAACCATTCCTTTCAGTAGGAATTACTATAATTTTTATAAAAGATACCAGTTATGGTAACTTTGATGAATTAACCATGGGAAAACTTAAGACATTCAAAAAATTGATTTTCAGTAAACCTGTGGGCTTCTCCCTGCTGTCCTGCCTACCTTGCAAGCAAGTATTATTATCCTGAAGTCATGGAAAGAGGCTATTGGTCTATACACGTCAAGTGCTGGTCACAAACATCCAGGTCTTATGAGAAAAATCTTGATCGCTGTATTTATTGTGGGTGCAAAAGGAAGGCTGCAACTGCTTTAAGTCTTTGTGGAGTAAAAATGTATCCCTTCTTCATTATCTTTAGCCTTTTCCTGCTTCAGAATCCCACACATCTAAATAGAATCCACATGGGTTCTGAGGACATGTCCAACTAAAGTAATTAAAGGGCTGTAGAACTAGCCGAGGGACACATGTTATGTCAGGTTAAGGCTGTTGGGTTTCTTTTCCTAATTCAATTGGCTACCAGCTTTACTTGCTATGTTCTCCGATTCTGACTCTCCAGCAACATAATTTCTAGTCTTGGTTTTTAACCAGTGTTTCCTTGAAGTCTTTTTGGGGGCACTCCACCATAACCCCTCTCCTCACCCACCCCCAACATTCCCTTCATCAGGCCATGTATTTTTACTGGAATCTTCTTCACCTTTTACATCTACCTATTCTACCAGATATTTCAGTAGTGATATGAAGATGTGTGTCTGCCTTGCCAAGTGTCATAAAAATCTCCCTGAGAGAGGTGGAGAAAAGAGACTTATCTGAACATCTTCTGGGTGAAATTTTTTAACCAATACATAATTATACATATATATGTGGTATGGTGATACTTCAGTACATGTATATGATGTTAGAATGACCAGATCAGCATAACTGGCATATCTATCACCTCAAACCTCTATCATCTCAAACCTCTATCATTTCTTTGTGCCGGAAATGTTAAAATCTTTTCTGCCAGCTATTTTAAAATATAGAATTAATGGTCATCAACCACAGCTGTCCTACTGTGCTATCTTAGAGCATTAGATGGTTTTCCTCCTGTCCAATTGCATGCCTGCACCTGTAACCCACCCTCTGTCCATCCACCTGCTCTTTATACCTTTCCCAGCCTATGGTAATTACTGCTCCATTCTCTTTCCATGAGAGCAACTTTTGACACAATAGTATTTGACACAAAGTATTTCAACTCAGTAAAAAGAGATTTAAGAAAAGTAAGTGATGCTGGCACAACTCTCTATCCTTCTAAAAGAAAATTTCTGTGCCCTTTACCTTATATATAAACTCCAGACTGGAGCAAAATGTATTCATTTTTATTTAAATTAATATTTAGCTGATGAATAAATATGTTTTAACAGAATAACATGTGATATCTTAACGTCTTTTAAACCATGGTTTTCAGATCACAAGGTAATTTGTATGGATGACCAATACCTGTAATCTCCAGAGTTTAATTATTACCATTAGATACTGTTTAGCTATGCAGATTTGAAACATTCCCCTGGTGAATATTTTGGGTTGTAAGGGGAGACATCCTAATCATAAAGATGCTTGCAGCATTTGGCTTTTCCTTCCACATATTTTCTATTACTAGAAAAAAGGAAAATTGGAAGCATGTGTTCAGTGACTGTGTCCTGCTGCCCCCTGGACCACTTGAAATCTTTATTTTCACATTTACAGGGAGCTGCAGCTAACCCAGAGAATGAAGACCAGCAGCAAAGGTTGAGAGAAGCTGCCGAAGGTCTCCGGGTAGCAACCAACGCTGCTGCCCAGAATGCTATTAAGAAAAAAATTGTCAACCGGCTGGAGGTTAGGAAAAACACTGGCTTTCAAGGATGCCATTTTATATTGTAAAGATTTATTTGAAAAAATAGTTGAATCAACAAAAAGCAATAGCCATATGAGAAAGCTAAATCAAGGTTAACAACCTTATCAGATAGTGTAGTTATTTTAAAGGTATTGACACAATTTGAACAATTGTTGTAGTTCATGGCTTCCAAAAGTTAAAATCCTTTCTAACTCTCAGAAATAGAATGCAGACTTTTTTTTTCCAGGCCAAAGTGTGATTCCTCTCCCCGCCCCCGGCATTAAAGGATGCACACATTCATTGAAAATGTTGATATTTTGGGTAGGCAATGACTTTTTACATGGCTTCCCATAGAAAAATATGGACTTTGAAAGACCAGATGGAGAGTATTTTTGGGTGGACAGGTGTGAGAGTAAGATGAAATATTTTTGTCTTTTTTTTTTTTTTAGTATATTCTGACAAGAGATGAAATAGTTATTGGCAAAAACTATGTAGCAAAAACATCATTTCTCTCAGGAATTTACAAGGAGACCCTTACGAAAATGGGGTGGGAGTAGAAGCTAAGATCATGTCGCATAGGGAATCCCTCCATATATGATCAGAAGGAAGAAAATTAGACTTGTGCTTGGAAGAAGAGGAGACAGTAAACTCATTTAACTACCCTGGTGGCACAGGCTTCTGAGTTGAGGCCTCCAGGTGCTCTGAAAGGAAAGTCCTGGACCACTGCCTTGCTCTACATACACAGTAGCCTGGGGGAAGATCTTTTTTCCCTAGGAAGCTTAAGTTTGATACTGCTGCTTATCAGTGCCATCACAGTCTTGAGATTGTCCTTGTCTTTTTGGGAAAGACAAACATCATAACTTGAGCTTTCAGGTAAGGCTGTCTTGATGCAGGGAGTACAAACCCAGGGCAGATAGTGGGACAGGATGAGGTTGGGATCATCAGTGGCTTTGCAAAGGCAGACTGTTCTTGGAGCTCCATGGCTTGAAAGTGGCAGGATGTGCACGGGTGACTCTGCAATTGCAAACCCAGCCTGACCTGTTCCACTCTGCTCTACAGGTTGCTGCTAAGCAGGCTGCAGCTGCAGCCACACAGACCATCGCAGCCTCTCAGAACGCAGCTGCATCCAACAAGAACCCTGCAGCCCAGCAGCAGCTGGTCCAGAGCTGCAAGGTGAGATTCCACCATAGGTGGCCCTGATGGCGTTAGAATGACAAGCCTTCTGGTGACTGAGAAAGGTCCAGGCCCCTGATCCAGTTGGTTCAGCTCCATGTTCCAGGTGTACCCCTGTCTGGTTTCTGTCCATTAAGTGGATGGGCTATGTTTGGAGGGAGAATATAAATGTTCTCCCCCACCCTCAGTATTGCATTTCTTTTGTCTGCTTTCTTTTCTTTTTGAGAGACTGAATCAAAGAAAATCAATGAGGAGACCATTTTAGAGCTCTGAAATAGTAATGAGGTGCTGGGTTTCCGGAGTGCCTCTCTCTTGGCGGGCCTTCACCTTCAGCCTTTACTCATTGTAGCCGGGTTGATTTCCTGCTTTCTACTAATTCCACCTTGAGGGTTTATTTCATCCTGTCTGAGCTCCGTGGCATTGTGCTTTTGTGCTTTGTTTTGTCACCCATTTGTCTCTTTTCTTCCAATATTCGGGCCTTGATGCTATGTTGAGACCAGCCTACTACAAACACCTTCGTTCCCTTCTCTTCAGGCCTAGGGAGCTGACTCTCCCAGGACATCTCTGAGTGGTTCCAGGCACAAAATCCACTGGTAGAGTCACTGCCCACAAGCCAGCAAGATGTCTGGCTGGAGTCTCCTGAAGGTGTGAACAGCAAGGGCTGTATGCTGAGATTATCAGAGCTAACTTCCCTCTCTCTCCTTCCTTAAATCTCCTCTGTAAAATAATGATTGAGAGGTGACACTGTTTCTACTGCAGAGAGCCTTCTGTTCCTGATTTCTGTTCTCAGCCCCCTGTTGGGGATCAGATGTGTTCTAGAAGAAAGAACATGAGCAATGTGCTAGGATCCTGGGCTTACTGTGCTTTGAACTATGTGGAAGCAGAGGGGTTTGTTGAGAGTGAGGCCACTGTTGGGAGGGGGTTGTTTCCTGCTCTGGGCTCCATTCAGTATCCCGCAGGGATGAGAAAATGGCTTGTCCTCAGGGAGCAGGTGCTGCTCACATCCAGGGACATGCCACAGGATGAGCCTTCTCTATCTCTTTTGTAAAGAGCCTGAAGATGCTTGGTCTCTGAGTGTCCTGCCAGGAAATGAGAGGAGCGTTATTTGTCAGGTTCAGGTGGAGAAGGGAAAATGGACCAAATTACTGGAATTACTAGCCCTGGAAAGGGCCTGGAAAACTTTCCATGGAAATATTTTTTTAACCCTTGCTGAAGCAGGTTTTTGGAAAAGATGTGTCATCAGGCCAGGATGCTCTGGACACCTTTACCAGCAATGATCGTCTGTGGTGCTGAGACCTCTGATGCCTGGCTCTTCAGAGGGGACACAGGCACAGAGAGAATGGAGGGCTTATTTCCTAAGGCCCTGGAGAAGGTTACCATTTGGCAGTCCTGGCCTTTCCCATTGCTGCTCTTCTCTCCTTTGCTCTGGGCTTTGAGCTTTCCACACTGAGAAATAACTAGTTAGAACTTAGAAAGAGGAGCTCTGGCCACATGAACTCTGGAGTACAGAATGCATGTCTACAAAATAAGAGGCCAGAGCACTTAAAGGTGCTGGTAGCTGAGAAATTCTTGCACTTTCTTCTCTGATGGGACCATCAGACTTCAGTTTAGTTACCTGTGAGTCATGTCATTTTTTGAATTCTAATTCTGCAATCCTAATGACCAGGGCAGTGTGTGTTATAACTAGGGAAATTCTTTTAATGCTTCATTATGGAGAATCATCTTCTGCCAAACATATCAAGACATTTGGGAACCACAGGGTAGAGTGTGTGGGGAAAAGAGAACCCAGGAAATGCAACTCAGTGTTGGTGAAGATTCAGCTAGCTAATGTGCTATATGAACCCAAGGCCTGGGACTGGCCTCCCTTTGGAGTGGGTATCACATCCAGAAAACAAGCCACCTGGGTCACTTTTCACCCTCTCTTCATAGTTCCACCATGCCACCTGTGCTCAGTGTCTATCTCCTTGCTTCCTGTAGGCAGTGGCTGATCACATCCCTCAGCTGGTCCAGGGGGTGAGAGGGAGCCAGGCTCAAGCAGAAGACCTTAGTGCCCAGCTGGCTCTCATCATCTCCAGCCAGAACTTCCTCCAGGTAACCTTGGGATCACCTTGGTTTCACTCAGAGCATCCAAATGGGGAGGATCTGACCTTTGTCCTTAAGAAGAGAAATAAGTGGATCCCACAGCCTTAGCTATGTCTTGACCTGACCAATCTCAGTAGAGGTAGCTTTTGCTTAGCAAAGCAAAATGCTAACATACAGAGAAATTGCCTGGGGAAGTAGTCCATGATTCACTTTTCTTGGGGATATCTTATTTATTTCTCCTTAAAGAGAAAAACAAAACATATCAGGTTACAAGTTGTATGAACAGCCCAGAACCGGGTATTGCTTTAGATTTCTAGAATGCCTAGTGCTGACATTTCCAGACCAGGAAAACACAAGTGGTGAGCATAAGCTTCTCCAAAGATGGGATTGACTGATCCTCAGGTCATTTTGAGAGTTGGTCAGGATTAGCATCCTTGTGGGGTAAAGGATACATCCATTTTAAGGAAAATTGAATGAAGTGAGAATATTCAGTCATGGGGAATCTCCATGTTACATGCTGCTTATGTTCATATCTCTCTACTTTATCAGCACTTTTTCTTTAATTATATCTCAAACAGCTGATGTGTGCTATATGAACCCAAGGACCTGGGACTGGACTCCCCTTGGAGTAGGTAGCACATCCAGAAAACAAGCCACTTGGGTCACTTGCCACCCTCTCATGATAATTCCACCGAGGCAGTTCAACATCTCATCCCTTTCTAGTTCAACACACAGTTGTAGGACCAGTGTAATCCACCCAGTAGGTGATTTTTCCAAGTGCTGTAACCCCAACAAGCAGAGATGGAACATAAATGTTTTTATTTCTTCATGTTTAACTGCACAGATGCAGAGTGTGTGTATGTGTGTACGTACACATATATGTATATGCAAATGTATTTTAAATTGCAATTCATTGCATATACACTCTTTCTGTTTTTCCTGTAACACATGAGCATTTTTTTATTTTGAACAATCTTCTGTCATATGCATATTCTGTGTTTAACTGTTCTCCCATTGTTGGATATATAGATTGTTAACTTTTTGCCTTCATAATCAACCTATTTCTGTGCTCAAATTTATGTTTCCTTCTTGAATTGCTTTTGTGAGGGTAAATTCCTAGAAACAGGTTTGCAAGCAGCTTATTTAATTTTTTGGAACATTGAGACTTATAGTTGTATCAATATTTGTCTTTTTACTAGAGGTCCTGGAGCCAGCTGTGTGTGCTGTCCACACCTTGCTACTGACAGGACCATACGGTGTGTGACGGAATAGTGTAGATGTGTTCCTGGTTCCATTCTCTCTCTGCCCTGTTTTTTTTTTTCTTTTCTTTTGTTCTTTTAACATTCCTCTCATAGACACTTAGATCTTTATGAGAAAAAGGCAAGGTTAAAATGAATCGAAATAGAATTGACAGGGGCTGGGGTTATGGCTCAGCGGTAGAACACTCGCCTCTCACATGTGAAACCCTGGGTTCAATCCTCAGCACCACATAAAAATAAATAAACCAAATAAAGATATTGTGCCTATGTATAACTAAAAAAATATTTTAAAAAAGAAATAGAATTGACAGATGAAAAAGTTTAGACATTTTAAACTTTCTTCACATAAAAAATTGCCTCTCCAGAAGATTAAACAAATCTACATTTTTAACTAATATTATATGAACCATACTTTTTAATACATCTTTTAGAAGAAGGAGAGTTAAGCACTGAGAAACATGTTTTTCCAGTTTTTTCTACAAAATTCTTTTTGGTTTTGCCTGTCTTTGGTTTTTACATTGTTAAACATTTTTTCATATGCTTTAGTTATTTGTTTTATGTGAATTGTTCATGCTTTTTAAAAAATATATATTTTAGTTATAGATGGACACAATACTTTTATTTATATATGTATATTTTTTAATGTGGTGCTAAGGGTTGAACCCAATGCCTCTCCCATGTTAGGGGAGTGTTCTACCAGTGAGCCACAACCCCAGTAGACTCATTCTGGTTTTTCTTATAAATTCTCATTAAATAAAGAATTTAAGTCAAAGAGTTAAGGAATCTTAAAAAAGATAAGCTTTTGTCCTTCATAGTTATAAGCTGGCACTTAGATTGTTACAACTTTTCTAAAGAGAAGCATTAAAAGCCTTAAAGGTATACATACTCTTTGATTCAGAAATTCAGCTTCAAAAATTTATACATTGAAGGTTGTAAATGTATGCAAAGATTTAGCTAGAAAGACATTTATTATGCCATTATTTATTAGATTGGAAAAAATAGAACATGCCCAAGAGCAAGAATTGAGAAATATTAACAGATGTGTGCAGTGGAATACTATATAGCTAATTAAAAGATAAAAATCTTAATGGAGATTATAAATATCATGATCTTATTTTTTAAAACATGTGCATGCACACAGATTTCCATGCATGGTAAAATTATTTTGTTTTATGAAATGTGAGGTTATTTTATTTGCTTCATCTTACTTCATTTTCTAAATAATCTATTGGGTATATTTGAAACTCAGAATAAAGAGCTATTCCAAGAAAACTGTTGGATAAGGAACTCTTTGAAATCAGTTTTAAATGAAAATTCAAGCAACTCTCCTGATTTTGCCTCCCCTAATCCCTCACAACACATACATTTTTGTTGTTGTTAACGTTCCTAGATTGTTCTGCCCTGGAGTATCTGACTAGGTGTGGCAATTTGTAGGGTGGGGCAGGGAAGTAGCTGGTGATTAATGTTTTTTTAAATTTTTATTCTAATTTGTTACATATGACAGCAGAATGCATTACAATTCATATTATACACATCGAGCACACTTTTTCCTATCTCTGGGTTGCACACAAGGGTGAAGTACATCTGGCTGCCATGGAGGAGGCTCTGTCAGTGGGTCTATGCCTCTTGCTGCCCAGATGCTGTCTTACTTTCTTCTCATCTGTCCACAGCCTGGAAGCAAGATGGTGTCCTCTGCCAAGGCTGCGGTGCCCACTGTGAGTGACCAGGCCGCAGCCATGCAGCTGAGCCAGTGTGCCAAGAACCTGGCAACCAGCTTGGCTGAGCTGCGCACCGCCTCGCAGAAGGCAAGTGGGGCTCTCAGCACGGGTCAGCTTGCCAAGAGTGGGTTTTTTTTGTTCCTTACTGCTAGAGGGTCAAGGTGCTGCCCATGGCCTGAGCACAGCTAGCCCTTAATATGTATGATCTGACACTTAAATTGTTGCACCTTTTCTAAGAGAAGTTTTATAACATCTTGCTTGGGAGAGCTCTCCATTCCATTTGCAAGAGCATTAAAGATACCCTATGGGTTGGCTTATACTCTACATTTAAACTGTCTCCCAGAGTTATTTATCACCTTCTAGTTAAAGATGACTTTTGTTGAACAATTTTAAATCTCATGCTTCCTCCTCCTCCTCTGTATTTCAGTCTTGCAGGAAACTGGTAGTCATCAATGTCTTGGTGCCAGATGTATTGTGGGCCAAAATAAGTGTACCTAGTCATCTTTCTGCTACTGTGACAAAATACCTGAAAGAATCAACTTAAAAAAGGGAAAGGCTTATTTGACTCACAGTTTCAATTTCAGACATTTCAGTCCATAATTACTTAACCCTGTCACTTCAGGCCTGTGGCAGCACCCTAGGTTATGGCAAGAATGTATAGGAGAGGAGGACTGTTTGCCTCAGGGTGTCTAGGAAGGGACTGAGACCCCAACATCCTCTTAAGAGGCATGTACCCCATTATCTAACTTCCTTCCACTAAGCCCCTCTTCCTAAAAGTTCCACCACCTCTGTATTAGCTTTGTTTCGCTGTGGACAAAATACCTGACAAGGACAATCTGAAGAGAAAAAGTTTATTCTGACCCATGGTTTCAGAAGTTGAGTCCATGGTGGAATGACTCCATTGCTGTGGCCCCATGTGAGACAGAACATCATGGTGGAGGAGCACACCTCTAGACATGGTGGCCAAGAAGCACAGAGAAAGGGGAAGGGACCACAGGGAAGTTCCAGGGTATGACCCTAGCCATCTGCCTACAGTTACGGCCCAGTCTGTTCAAATGAGGATGGACTGCTGAGGTTACAGCTCACATAAAGCCAGTCGTTTCACCTCTGAGTACTCCTGCATTGACACAGGAGCTTTTGGGGGACACATTATATCCAAACCATAACCACCTCCTAAAGCTTCATGGGATGGTAACCACACTTTAAACGCATGGGTCTTTGGGGGGGACATTTCAGAGGCAAACTGTGGTGAGAAATGGTCATATCTTCTAGTTATCACCTTATGAACTTAATAACAAATTATTAAGGCAGAAAATCTTTGGTGGCAGGGGGTGGGGCGGTAAGGGGAGTCAGCTTTGCTCCTTTTTACCCTAAAAGGTTTTCTCATCCTACATGGAAGCATTCATATCTCAACAAGGGACTCAATAGAACAGAATTTGGGACTAAATAAATTTCAGTCTCTAAAACTTATTAGTTAGCAAAGGATCTCTTTACGGCTCCAATGTGGTATTTAGCATGAAGTTAAAACATGATTTCACTTTTCCTCATTGGAGCAATCCCTTTATAGAAAAAAGCAGCCTCATAAATTGGTAAGGGAAGAAGGTCAAAGCTGACTTGAATGCTTAATATGAGCAGCACACTGCATTGAAAAAGAAGAATGTCCAGAGCTCTAGGATACAACCAACACACACACACACACACACACACACACACACACA